CACCGCGCTGACTTCTAATGACCATAACTTTTGTAATTAGTGAGACATTGTCTTCGGCGACATCTCAAAATATTCGTTAGAATATAAACTTTGAAATTAAGCAAAAAAAAAAAATAAATTTTTTTGAAAATTTCAGGGTGGCGTAACCCCTTAATTAAATGATCATGTAATGCCAAATTGTGAATTTCAATTTTATTAAAACACACCTTTTGTGTTTACGAAATATAATCTAATACTGATTGTAAAATCTGAGATTATGTTATTTACATTTTTTTGTTTATCAGTAGTGTTTTATGATTAAAAAGAGGCACAATTTATATAGTAATTAAAGAACTGAAAATATACGATACTTTTCCTCCGTATTTTAATATTATCAGGGATGCTACGGTCAGTACAGGGAAAACCTGGAATTGTCAGGAAATTTTTTCTCAGTCAGGGAAAACCTGGAAATAACTATATAAATGTTTTATTGCCTAATATTGTTCAATTTTCTTCCTAAGAACATATAAGCTAATATTTTCAAAAATTGTAATATTATTCTTTGCAAGAATTAAATTATTTTTTTAAATAGTAAAAATCTCTTCAAAAATTCAATTATTTTCAATACAATTATAATAAAATTTCACGAAAGAATGAATGAAATTCAATTATTCTAAAAATTATCAATTAAAATTATTAAAAAAATTCCATTTTTAAAAAAAAATTAAAAGAAATTCTTCAAAGAATTTAATTAGAATTATCAATCATTTTAATAAAATTCTTCGCAAAAATTAAATTACTTTTGTAAATAATAAAATTCTTCGAAGGAATTGAATTATTCTCAAATTTTTTTATAAAATTCTTTGCAAGAATTCAATGATGTTCAATACATTAATTTTTAAAAGAAAAAATATTAAAAATGTTAGGAAACAAAAAAGCAAACAACAACTATTAATTTGGTCAGGGAATTCGAAGTAAAATGGCCTGGAAAACTTGGAAAAGTCAGGGAATTTTGAAATGCTGAAATCGTAGCAACCCTGATTATTTAATTAAAATTTGAAAAAATTTAATTTAGAATCGGTGTGGGAAATATAATATAAACAAAAAATGATTAATATGTCAGTTCAAGTTTCTTGTAATAATTTTATTGATAACGCACAAAAATGCTTTTAGAAAAAAATTTTCTTTTAATAATAGACATTCTGATAATTGTTACAATATGTGGAAACTTTTTAGAGTATAATATTTAATTATTAAATCTTAATAAGTAATATGTAATCTATAAAAAGTTTATTATAATTGTACTTTATTTTTATATTATTTATTATTATTATTTAACTATTATCATATTGTATTGTTATATTTAAATATTAATATAGGCTGAAAAATATTTATTAACAAAGTCCTTGGAAATTAATTCTTATAATAAAAATAAACTTTGATTTACATTCTGTGTATTTAGAAAAAATTTATTGACAATGAACGAATATACAAACAAAAATACATTAAATGTATTGAAAACTTGAACAGATTTTGGTCTACAATTGTAGCAGCCAAATTTTAAAAAATGTGAACATTTGAAGTCATTTTACATTCTAAAAGTTTACACTCTTTTTTTCAAATAATACAAAACCTTTTTTACTTAAACGTAAGAGAAAAACATAAAATTTCTTTTAACATGCATGAATAATCGGAATATATTTAATACAATTTTTGCTGTCGAATATAAAACTGGAAATAATCATTGGTACTATTCTTTAACTTAAACAATTTTTGCATCGAAAATTAAAATAGTCTAAATACCATTTTTAAAACAGCTTTTTATCACTATATAGTCTTGCAATTACACATTTCGAACATTTTCTGATTATACTAAACTAAAAATCTGAAAACTTTAAATATATTAAATTATAATATAATTAGAATTGCAAAAAATACAAGTTTATAAATCTTCTCCTTATACAAAAGGTGGAATATAAAAGTAAAATTCAGGAATTGTTTAGTCGTGAAAATTATAATTATTACAAGAGTATTGAAGAACTTATTGACTATTTTCGAAAGAAACTTAACAATTTTTAAAACTATGAATTGTTATTCGTACTATAACAGATGGAAATAAAAAATATTATGCGATATACAATTTTAATTGTCGTACAAAAGCTGTAGATCATATCTACTACAAGTAAGTTTCGAATCAGTAAATACGTATATTTAACTTAATATTTCTCTCGAAAAGAAAGTTATTTATTCTACGGTAAGTGTTTTGTCGAAATATATTTTTTACCATGTTCTTTTATTATGTTCAACGGGAAAGGACTTAACAGAGAATCATAGTTCACAATGCATTTTGCATTCGAATATTCTATTTCATATGCGTCAAAATGTTCATCAAAATCAAGGATTTGAAGCTTTCTACAAAGAAAAAAAATTTTATTATCGTTATCTATAATGACAAGTTGGATTTTGCCAAACTGTAAACATTCATTTGCTTCTTCTAACAATATTACATAATTTTCTTGGTATTTTACGCCAGACTTATTAACCCAATTACATTGAAATATTGGTTCCTGAATGGACGGAAAACTATAATTGCTGATTTCATATAAAATAATTAAATTTTGTAAATTCGTTGATTTTGTTGGACCAACTTCAAACTTTTCAACAAGACCTTCATTAGACAATAATATATTTGCTAATTTCAATTGATGTTTGAGAGCAAGAGTGTATAAAAGATTCTTTTTACAGAATGAAATAATAGCTGTCGTTTTTGACTCTTGATGTTTGGCTTCATTTCTCATCCCCCAAAAAAAGACTAAAGGACCACAATTTCTAATGACTCTACCGTAATGTGTCATAAAATGTGCTTTTGGTTTTAAAGGTTTCTTGAAAAGCTTCGTAAATGAAGAATTGTGTTCTTCGACAAGAGTATCTAGTAAGTAAGTACATTCATTTTGAATACTTGGAGTAGTTACAAGACAGATAATTTGACGAAGAGTTAAATAAAACCTCCAGACTGGATCGTCATGAGGTACAACGTCACCCATCATGAGACCAAAAGAGAGTGTAAAGATCCACATCTCTTTAGCTGACATTTTAATAGAAGTGTTTTTAGGTCCAAATTTTTCGGAAACCGGAGGAGGAATATTTTGTTTATCTATTGCCCCGTAATCAAAGAATTGCATTCTATAAATTAAGTCATTAAGAGTAAAATATTCTTTTTCAAAAATAAAATAAATCAAAATTTCCGCCATATCTGTGTCGCACACACCTTCAAACAGATCGTGCATAATGTCCACAACAATGTTTGAAGTCATATGAAATCCTTTAATTTTGTGAAAAACATTCTCTTCTTTAATTCCAGTCTTAGAAATGTCATCAAGTATTAAGTCAGCATCATAGGATTCTTCTGTTCTTAATTTACTTGAATCTTCTCTATTTGAATATTGCAATTCCGATTTGGACATTTTACACATTCGGCAAAGAAAATTTGAATTGAAAGATTCTGTCATTCCGAAAATAGAATTTAATCCTAAATTATCACCTGTAATTAATGCAAGTTGGAAATATACTTGTACTTTACAGTCAGGGAGATTTAATTCGATGCCCGTGTCTTGTAAAAATTTAAATTCTTCAATTAAGGGTAAAAATGAGAAATGGTTACCGCAAATTTTTCTATCGTCGGAATAAAATAACTCAGCAAGATATATATTCCTTAAGGAAGATCCAAATTCTGGAGGAAATAAAGGAATATTAATATAAGAAGCACCTATTTTGTACATTCCCGCGTGGCTACCTAAACAATTTCCCGTCTCATAGTCGTCAAAAAATAAGAACAGTGGTAGGACCAATTTTGTTCCATAATATCTTTCGGTTAAATTTTTCCATAAAGTTCCCTGTATGAAATTGGAGAGTATACTATTTTCATTTTCTAATTTTTCTTTATATGCCATCACTGATTGAAAAACCCCTTTCATTTCAAAAACAGATTTTAATACTTGTCTTAATGGAATGAACTCTGCGTGGACTTCTTTATGAGACTCTATAACATTTAAATTGTGAGAAGCACAAGGCACATATTTACAGCCTATTTCTTTTTTAACAGGAGGAATTAAAACACCAATATCTTCCAATTGTTTGAACCTTAAATATTCAGTTTCGAGTTTCTGAAACGGATTTTGAGTACAAATTAAAGCATCTGCAATATTTTTTAAATTTTCTTCGGATTCGCCTAAAGTTTTCAAACGATCTAAAATCAAAGAATAAATTTCTGACTTTTCACTAACCATTGTATTGAACATATTAATAAAAATTCCCACTTTATTTCTAGATAAAGTAGAGTCTGCGTATAACTCCGTTATTTTTTTTAATGCTTTTGAATGCAATTCTTCTTTTAATTTTTCTATTTCAAACATGTTTTTTAAATCTAAACGATAATCAGATAAGTGTTTTTGTGCTTTAATATCGGAAGTAGATGCTTCATTTGTATCGGAAGTAGATGCACTATTTTTAGGGATGTTATTAACTTTTGCAGATTCAATTGGCTGAGATTGAGTGTTAGATGTGTTGCTACTAATTTCATGTAAATTATAATGTTCTGTACCCCAATGTCTCTTAAATGTTTTAAATGACGAAAATTGTCGATGACAATTTAACTCACCGCAGAATATATAACCTCTTTTTTCGAACCCATGATCAACGTAAATGTGACTCTTGTATATTTCGAGATCTACAATAACACTTTTGCACAAAAAGCACGTCGGCATGGTGACAAATTGTTTGTATTTAAAAAAGATTAATTATTTTTAAAGTATTACAATTGTATAAAATATATTTTTTATACACTCTAAATATATTGTATATATTTATTTTACTTTAATTAATACTTCAATATTTTCTTCGTATCACAGACTACTACCAGTCTTTTAGTTAGTTGATATATTTTTAAAATATAACAGTTTCGTCAAAAAAAGAAATGTCTTACTTTTAAATATCACATTATTGAACAATATTTAAGACTGTTCAATGTTTAATGTACCACGGTTTCGCATGTCTCCGAGCAGAGTCAAAACAGATTCTCCTAAAGAATCTTCAGTTCTGTCGATTATACTATAAATTCTATTCTGAATTACTAACCAACAATTTTCTGCTTCCTTTGGGTAGTTTAATTGCAAAGCATAAAAACTTTTGAATGTGATGTCGAAAGCTTTCTTTGGTGAGTCAAAATGATATCGTATATCATTTATACATACATACGATGCAGTTATTTGAAGTAACGTTTCGCCAACAAGAACAAGTAATGGTTGCTCGGTAAGACCATGCATTTCGAGTTTCTTACGACGATTTTCCAATCTGCCTTGTAATTGAGTTATATTCTGTAAAAAGTAAATGAAATTTATTAAATGAAAACTTAAACATTTTATAAATTTTAAATACATATGAAAAAAAATATATTAATATTATTAAAAATATTATTACAGTAATGTGCATTACAAAAGCGTCTTGAACTTCTGGTTTACTTAATTTCCACACCCGTTTTTTAGACGATCCTCTTACGTTTAAAGTAGGTAGAAGTAAAGGGATTAGTCTAAAGATGACAGCCACTGAAGCTGAGAAATAAATAGAATAAATAATCTTTAACACACAAACAAGAGTAGTTAAAAATGTAACATATTAGGAAGTTTTATAAAACAAATTTTGATAAAAATAAAATTTAACCATCAGTATCATCGTTGATCAAATTGTACACGGCAAGCAAAGCAGATATTTCAGAACTTTTTCTAGTTTTCGCGCAACCTATTATTTCTTTTTCAAAAGAGTCCCACTCGTTGTTCAAGGCATCACTTTTATTTTGATGCATTTGTTTAAAATCCTCATCGATCTAAAAATCATAAACAAAAAATAATTAACTTTATAAAATAAATAATTGCAAATTAAAAAATTTAATAAGAATACGTTACGCACTAATTGAAATCCTAAAGGCTGTTGTAGTACTTTGTACACAGACATGTACATTACATTCGTTAGGTCACTTTCAATTAGATTTTTGATTCTTAATTTTGAGGTTAAAATCCATTGTTCAATTACTTGTTCCCAAGGGCCTATGTGATTTTTCAACCATTGCACTGATGCGCTTAATTCCTCTGTTTCTATAAAATAAAATATACATTTAAGAATAATTATAGAGATAACCTAAATAATAATTGTTTTTTTCTTTTCGTGTAGGCCTAGTGCAATTTAATTTCAATTATATCAAAAAGTATTTTCTAATTAATCAATATACCTTGCAATTGAAGTTCATCAGGGTTTGCTAATATAGCATTACGTGATCTCGTTAACAAATTTTCTACTCCTGGCGGCTTAATACTTTTAATGTTACCGATTGTAATTCCAGACCTTTTTAATTTAGTTCTCAACGAATAATATTTACTTTGAAGCTTTCCTTTTGCTAAGGATGGTTGTCTTGTGACGGAATTAATTTTAAATGGTATGTAAAAGGTCGAAGCGTTTTCAGTAGGAAACGTGCTGACAATACAATCAGCAAGTTCAATTAATCTTTTCGAATGAATGCTAAAAAAATAATTAATATATATTAAAAAAAATTTAAGAGTTTAAAATGGAATTAGGCAAAGATTAACTTGAAAATTCTGTTGTATGCTTTTTTGTTTCGCCATTAAACCTTAAAACCATTTTAATAAAAAATAATTACGTATAATCATTTTGAGCATTTAACTCATTGCGAATTAAAATGTCTGCAATGTCGAGACGTTGTTCATTTGTCAAAATGTTGTTTTCCTTGTAATACTTTAATGCAGCAATCCCCTCCAAAGAATTTTTTAAGATGTTTTCGATGTTAGTATCTAAACCAATTACGTTTAAATATTAAATTGTATGTATTATTTATTGCATTTCTAATGGTCTAATAATATGATTTGTACTTAAATATTATTCCTGTCAATTTATTTTGACAGTTAAAAGATTTAGCATATGAAAATTTAAATTAAAAAGTTCCAAAAAAATAACAATGTATGACAATAATAAGAGACTGCATCACAAGTGATTTGGTGAATTAGAAATTTTTTAATTTAATAATTTTACTAAGCAGAAACTATTAAAAGAATTGAATGCAATAAAAATTTATGTAATGAGAATTTTATTATAGGTAAATTTTTTTGTTAAAAACACTTGATTAAATAAATGAAAATGAAATTTCACTTTAAAAAAATTTAACTTAGTAAAAATTAGGTGCAAAAGTATTATTCTATTCTAAATATATATTTAGCTGTATAAAAATAACTCTGCCTTATTATAATTGATATAACTGTTTCTATTTTTAATAAGAGTAAAAATTTTATACCTGATAGAGGATTACTTAAATTATCATTGGATTTTTCAGCCTCATTCGAATTTGCTTGATTTCTCGCGTCACTCGATGCTCTTAAATTATTATCTTCATTTATTTCTTCGTTTTCGAAAGACTAAAAAAAAGTTTTGACAGTTATAGCTTATCTTATAATAACAATAAACAAAATGTTTTGGTTTCGCAACATATTACATAACCTATAAATATATAAATACTTTTAATGAGTTCATAATATAAAATTTTACTTACAAATTGATGATCACCCGATATAATGACATTTACAACTGCAAATTCTCTTTTCCAATTAGCAAAAAATTTATCACGTGGGCCATGCTTAGGAAAAATTTTTTCGACTGTTTCCGGACTTATGACTCGAAATGATTCTTCGTCTATTTCCTCTTCTGTAAAATTTTATCTAAACTAATTTTCTTTTTTCTAAAATTTAATATTTTAGGATATTTTAATTATACATATACACACAAGTATATATATACACAATATATAATAAAGTGCATGACATATATTAACCTAACCTTCAAAAGCCGGTATATACTTTTCCAATTTCCAGGCAATTAGAATATTTTTGACGAAAGAATCCATCTTAATTTTTAATTCTGTAAACATTTTTTACATTCAAATAATTAGAACAAAATATTGCATTATTCAAAAGGTTAAAAGCATGGAAATCACGTGCTGAACATAAGAAATAATTACACTATTTTCCGTCAATATTTGTGAATGCACTGATTATTATGAGAAAAATAGTATTCTTATTGCATTACAAAACACAACACTTACTTGTTCTTTAAAATCACAAAAATTAATCCACAATCACATCTCGAAAAAAACAAGCTATTAGTGTCACATTAACGACCACTAACGACTGATGACGGCCATTTTAACTTATGCTGTATATCAATGCACTATATATATCAGGGATTTTGAATATCGCCAAATCACTGATGTTCACAAAATCAAAGCGATTATACGTATGGCGCTTCTAGAGGTATATTTAGCTGCTTTATTCGAAAGTCTTGTTTATTTCTACTATTTAAAAATAATGCGTAATTTCTTAATATATGAAATTTTTCGTTTCAGCAATAACATCAAGAATGCCAATTCTTTATAAAAAATTTATTGACAATAGCTGAATTGATTTCAAAAATGAGTTATATGTATTTTCATTTTAGCTTTATTTCCAAAATCGCTCGTTCGCATCGCTAAATTTTTTTCCGTGTGAATATACTGAAATAGAATTTTCTTGCACAACTCGTTTAGATATCTTGATATTGCACTTATTTTCCAAATAGAATTGTTTTGTTTAAGTTAGCGCACTTTATGAACGGAAGCCATCGTTATTACGTCTTGCTTAGGTACCTAAATAATAGTCGACTTTATTTCTTCTTCATTTTATAAGCAGCCTTCTTCAAACTATGATATTATAATTATTACAGCAGTTTGAAATTTTGAAAATTTTAAGTTTTATGAGTTTAAAGTATTAAAGTTTTACGAGAGTTCTAATAAGAAGTTTGACTTCAATACAAAAAAGTTGAATCAATATATAAATAATTCTGTTGCCTCGGGGAACGTTTATAAATGATGTCACGTTTTTGGGGTAGGACGGGGGTCTCCACCAAACGTGACACAAGGAATTTTCCTCATGCGAAAGTCAGCAAATATGTGTGACAAGGGGGTAGGGGTTTGAAAATATGAGAAAGTGCGTGATACATCATTTATAAAAGCTCCCTTAATTTACAAAAAAAAATGACAGTTGGCCAAAATTTTAAATAAAAATTTAATCCTTAAAAAATTTTTTTAAAATTTTAATCACTAAAGTACGAATGTAAGATAAAGCCTAAATTATATTTTAAGTTTCACTGCATTATTCTGAAATTCGACCTACAAAAGAACAAATTTTTAAACTTTTAATATACATATTTCTGTGGGAATTCAGTTAAAGTTCTTGAAATTTATTTTTGAATCCAATTTCCAGCGAGTTAAATCACAAGAGTTGCATTAACGCATTCACATACCATATTAAAAAAGAAATGAAAAGATTTTTAGCAAATAATATAAAAGTATCGCCATAAGTTAAACCACCCAGGAGTGCTGGAACTATAAAGTATTGCTATTAAGATTAATTGCGTTGTAAATATTACAACCGAGTTTGTTTGCCACCGGAACACAGACGTATCCGGTATTTCCCAAAGGAGGTGTTCATAATATCCTTTCTGAGCTTCCCCATGGATTCACTGTACCCTTTACTTTTATATGTAAAATCTGTCGACCATTTATCCACTTTGATGTATCAGTACATTTTAAACTCCTCTGCGTTTTATGAAATTCATTTAAGTTTACATTCTGTGCTATTGCTATACTCTCTGATGCCTCACTCTTGTTCCTTTTGAATCATTTGATTCTGCGTCGGCAGTAAATTCAATTTCCATGTAGGCAAGTAGAAAAATCCATCATTTAGCTTAAGGAGGTTTATCCCAAAATCGATTTTCTACAGATTCTTATAAAATTTTAAAGACATATTCATAGCTTTATTTTACATGTGTGGTTAAAATTTTATTGAATTTAACCGTACCGTTTTCAAGATATAAATTTATAAAGTTTGAAGTTTTCAATGGGGACAGTGAAAAAACATGCAAAATGACTATGTTTCTATTGATTAAAAGAAAACGGCTTTACAGATCTTTGCAAAAAATTAATATATTTTAAACGATAGGATAATACAGCATTTACTAAAATATAGAATTGATTGGCCGTTGAGTTGTTAAGAAAATGGTCCGTAATTTTTAATTTTTGGTTCGTAAAGTCCGTATTATATTTATTTTTAAATACTTTCACTGCTTCGAGCCATGTTTGTACGAATCGTCATTTGACAATTTTACTTCAAGTTTTGAACGTTCAATGAAAGAATTTATGTTCTAATTAAATATTTCTAAAAATCACATTAATAAAATGTAACAGAAAATAAATGAAACAATTATTTAGTTAAAAATTTATTATTGTCCGTCCACGAGATAAAAATTCTGAAAAAAACCAAAATTCGATAGAACGACAATTTGTTTGAATGAAAATTTGATTAAATGACAATTTGGAAAAATGTCAATTTAGTTAAATGATGCTCCGACCACAAGCGAATATTTTTGATTAAAATAGACACAAACAGAATGGTTCGAATTTAAAAAAAAAAAATTGCTGTAAAAATTGAAAATTTGTCCAACTTGGCGACTTGTTAAAAAAAAAATCACAATGCGTCCTCTTGGATATGAGATCTCATTCAGACCTGACGAGAAGTTGTAAGAGAAGTAGCTTACAAGCTTTAACAGTAAACTGTTCTTCTAGAGAAATTTTCTGTGTCGGTCGAGAAAGGCTGCAATCGGATTCACGACTTGTTCAAGAGCGGTTTCTCATCCCTTAAACGTTTTTTTTTCTCTTATTTTACTTCTCTCTCTCTCTCTTTCTCTCCTTCTCTTTCAATGAAATCGATTCCGGGTCAGTTAAGGTGTACTTTCAAACCGAAGGGCGTGACTTGTAAGCACCGTTGACGGTTTAAACTTTAATCGATAAACGAGTCCCTTGCCTTTTAACGGATCGTCCCTTATTCGATTAGAGACGAAACTTTATTCAAACAATAAATAAAAAAAAGAAAGTAAAAATATTCGAGGGAAATTAAAAATTAGTTCAGGAAATATAAACTATATTTTGTCGCATTTCCAGCAT